AGAGAGAGAGAGAGAGAGAAGAGAGAAAGAAAGAAAAAGAGAGAGAGAGAGAGAGAGAGAGAGAGAGAGAGAGAGAGATAGATTAAACTAAACTTAATTTGGATGATAATTAATACTAACTGTGATTTTTTGTTTGCATTCATACTACCAAAGCTATTTATTATTTATAACAGTTATTAAAACGACATTTAAACCACTAATTCAGATTCAGTAATTCAAAAAATTACAAAGAAAGTCTTTGTGCTCTGGCTCTCTCCGCGTTGACACAAAGACTCACACACTACAGACTTAAACAGACCATGTTCACAACAAATACAAATACAAACACATTATACACACAATACACATCCAAGATACCAGACGAGGTTCATCGGAGTGCGTCAGCTGTTCAACCTGACTGTCCGACTGGAGAGAAGCTGTCACTGACATGTGTGGTGTGTGTTTGATGCTATATTAACGTTTATTTAAATTCTCGTTGACTCTTCAGACCAATTATTCATTCTTTTTGATTAACCTTTTTTTAAATGTCGTTTATAAATTACTTTAAGCATTCATCCATTACATTTAACAAGCCATTTCAACAGTTTACACCTTCTAGATATTTATTTTAATCATATATCTTTGATACTTCTAGCTTCATTCGACACACAAAGGTGCCTCAGGTTGGTTTGTTGCTCGTTGCTGGTGGTTTACGGTTTAATTGTGACAATAAATTTGACTAAAAACCACAAATTGACTTCCTATTTGGTTCCTTTTTTTATTCCTCAACATAAAAATGTGAAGATTACCTGTTTGGGAATCAGTGCACTCTGCCACCCTGAGGCACCAGACTTATGTTAATGCTTACACTGAACACATTACAGCAGCCAGAAGGGAAGATTATAAAATGTTTTGGTTTAACTTTCCCCAGCCGTCTGCTGCCAAATGTGTCCAATCCCGCAAACGTGCAATCAGAACAGGGGTGGGAAACAGCAAATTACTCTGAACCACCACAACAGGCTGTCTTATCTGGGCCAGCCGGCTCCTTATCAGCACGGATTGCGGGGCAGATCAGGGTCACATCCTCGTGTACTTTCATTTTCAGGCGCCGAGTCAAGAGGGCGACAGAGGAAGATATCGTTTGTCGACTCAAAAAGGATGGACGGCGAATGGAAGGGCTCACTTTTAGAGCGAGATTACTTTTCTTTTTATTCAGTTTTATTGTTTCAGTTAGAGAGTTTGTTTCACGTCCACTGGTAACCATATAAAAGTTACCCAAAGGACATTTCTTACTGTGATCGCGATGGTTTCAACTTCGTACCCGTTAATCACTATCATCTTGGTTAATATGACTGTAGCATTAAGAAGACAAAGTACATTTGGGATCATATACTGTGCAATGTATGAAGGTCACTACATTTAAACTGAAACTAACTGTGTATTTTAGCTTTGTCACTAAGAAAATGTTCTTTTTCTTCTAGAAAAATATTCAATTCCACCAAAAAAAAAGATCTCAAAATATTGGAATCACTGACATTTGTGAATGTGAATTATTAGGACACTCTTATCTTATATAACAGACATTGTGGGAGCTGTTTGTTTTGTGCTTTTATTTTAAGGTGTTTTCGCTGTGCACCAAAATCCCTTCAGTCTGGTGTACCTTGCTGGCTTTCTTCTTCTCGCCGATGCTCTCGGCCTCCTCGTGTTCCTTGGCTCCCTGTGTCAGGTTGGTGTAGTTGGCCAGGCGATTGAGCAGAGAAGACACCTTCGGTCGAGTGTCCATCTCCTCCTGTGGTGTTAAGAGAGGGAGGGGGGGTTGAGAGGAGGAGGAGGAGAGGGGGATGAAGGGAGAAATGGGGTGGAAAGAGATAAAGAACAGTAGGCGAAGGAAAGCAGAGAGAGCCAGGGGATAAATAAGTAGGCGAGAGAATAGAAAGAGCAAGGTCGGGTTATAGAAATGACAAGGAATAAAGAAAGGAAGAATAAGTGGAGCAAAATGGAGTGAAGAAAAAAAGGGATGACAAGCACAGAAGGCACCAGATAAGAAGTAGAAGAACAGGAGGAGGGAAAGAGGCACTCGTTAAAAACAAAGTGGGGGGGTAGAAGATAAGAGTTGTTTCCAGGGAACTTCAAAATCTATTTTAAAAGATGAAATTATCTGCACCCACCAGCCAAACGCTGGTTTATTTCTGTCTCTAGTTTATCAGTAAACAACCGTTCGGAGGTTTTCTTTTAATCTGTGTATTTTATAATCAAAAGAACAGTTTACAGAACATTTATAACATAATAATAATAATAATAATAATGTGCTTTTATAGGGTAATAGGGAAATCAATTTTGTGTTTTCAAACCTCAAATAAGGCCAAGTTTCTGTCGTAGAAGTCGTCGTCATCCATCCCATGAGTGTTGTTGATGTACACGCTGGAGATTTTGGAGTTTCCATCACCTGGACACAAAGAACGAGATTATAAATAAAAGGAAAAAACGACAGATTTTAGTTGCTGTAAGCGATATATAAAACTCACCGTGGACAGAGTTTACTTTTTGAGCTGCAGTGGAGGGATAGTGACAAAGATAAATATATTTTGGCACCAAAAAACGTGGAAGGTTGTGGATTAAAAACAACTTTATTCATATAAATTTATGGGATTTCTTAACGTCCAGCGTAAAACAGGAGGATACAGTTAATTAATATCAGGGTTTACAAACAGTTTTACCTCCTACAAACTGCTACAGGCGACTAGAAGAGCTAAAACACTGCTGGGAAAATCCTGTAAAGTCCTCGTTCACCTGACTGCTATTCTAAGACACACACACACACACACACACACACACACACACACACAGTTTGATGCAACGGCCACCGTGTCGCCAGTTCATTTCCGCCTCAGTCAGCACACACCACTGCATCAGCAGCACCTGAGTCAGCAACATCACTTCCCTCCCTGCTCCGCCACACGGACGCTGACGCTCACACGCAGAGAAACGTTCGACAGAAGGACTCTTACACGCGTTAACGACTCGAGACTCTTGTGAATAATCGTCATTTTGTTAAGGAAATATGTGAATATATAGATAGAAACTAGGCATTATGTACGTTTACTGAACTGGTACAACGTAAGCTTGAATATAACCATTTGTTGTCTTTCTCTGTAGTTTAATCCGACTGTT